GCGGTGGTGGTGGGAGCCTCTCCCGCCTCCTCAGCAGCGCTAAGGATGTCAGACTGCAGCTTAGGCCTGCTCCCTGCTGGCAAGTGGACATCCCCCGAGGGCTGCTGGGCTGCCAGAGGGATGTCTGATTGCCAGCTTAGGCTCAATCCCCCGGGGAGCAGGCCTAAGCCAGCATGTGGTCATCCCCCGAGGGGTCCCAGACTGCGAGAGGGCACAGGCCGGGCTGAGGGACCTGTGCACCTGGCCTCTAGTTGGTTAATAAAATTACATAGGTTTGAGGTGTACAGTTTTATAATACATCATCTGTATATTGCCTTGTGTGTTCACCACCCCTACTGAAGTCTTTCTTCACCATTTATTCTCCCTTTTCCCTCTTCTACCTCTCTACCTTCCCTCTGCCTTTCTCTCTTGTAATCATCATACTGTTGTTTGTCTTGCCTATGAGGTTTTTGTTTTTTTCCTTAACCTTTCACCTATTCACCCAGTCCCCCAATCCCCCTCCCCTCTGACAGCTGACAGTCTGTCCTCTGTATCTATTGAATCTGTTTCTATTTTGATTGTTAGTGTATTTTGTTCATTAGATTTCACATATCAGTGAAATCCTTTGGTACTTGACTTTTTCTGGTTGGCTTATTTAGAGCACTTCTGGATTGTGAACATTGAAGGATAGCCTGCTAATTATTTCATATCTTTATTTTAACATGTATGCACATTATTCTTTTTAAAAATATAACAAAATATGATTAATTTGCTTTAAAATTAATTCCTTATGTAAAGCAGGGTGTCTGAACGACCGGCATTTTGGGCTGGGTGATTCTTGGTTGTGAAGGACTGTCCTGGGCACTGTGGGATGTTCAGCAACATCCCTGGCCTCTACCCATTAGATGCCAGTAGCACTTTGCTAGTTGTGACATCCTAACGACCTCCAGTTGAGAACCAGTGGTCTAGAGCTAAAGGGCACATAATCTAAGTATCTGAGTTTGTTGTGCCTTCCTGTACTTCTTAGATTTATAAGGGTGCTTGGTTAGCTTTTATAAAAGCTGCAAAAATGCTACAGGTGTAAAAAGATACCTAACAATATATAAAAATCCTGTAAAAAAAATGCTAATGTTATTACTAGGGAAGGACCTACTGTCCTTATTAGAAGTTTACTGTTACTTATTTTACATTTTTTTTTTCTTTTTACTATTTTTTTGAACTAATTTACTAAGAGACCTGAGTCAGTAAGGCATTTCTCTCTTATATCGGACACTCCAATAAAGAGCTCAGCTTCAGTAGGTCGGTATTCATATTTCTCTCCTTGCTTCCTGAGGATCAAGCCACATGGGTTCAGTTAGCTTTTTGGTCAGGAGATACAGAACTAAGAACAAAGTAGCAGCTGCTCTCCTGTGAAAGGTCATAGTCCTCTTGAGGCTTAAGCAGGTCAACAAATGGAAAAGGAATACTGGGAGACTCCTTAATTCTGAGGCCAGAGCCCCTTTTTTTTTTTTTTTTTTTTTTGAGTAGCACCCAGGAATTCTGTCATATTCATTGCCAAGGTAACAATTATTTAAAGAAATAGGTACTGCTTCTAGAACATGTAGAGTGAATAAGAAAATAGGATGAAGTGTTCAGCAGTTCCTTTATATGCCATTGCACTGAAATGTCTCTTAATTCTAAATGTATGCTTTAAAATAAATGTTTGGAATGTATATGCTACTTGTTCAATTCTAAGTTCGTTTGGGTTTGATATGCTACAGTTATTTATATGTCACATAAGCTTATATACCTGTATACATTCATATATCTACATAAACTTACTCTCTTTCCAAAGGCTAGTGAAAACTTTAGTGGCTGACACTCCTCTAACTGCAGTAGATTTCATGCCTGATGGTGCCACTTTGGCTATTGGATCCTCCCGTGGGAAAATATATCAGTATGATTTAAGGATGTTGAAATCACCAGTTAAAACCATCAGTGCTCATAAGACATCTGTGCAATGTATAGTATTTCAGTACTCCACTGCTCTTTCTAAGGTAAGACATTTTCTTTCTGAATTTTTTCTTTTACTAAATAAATCTAGCTCAGAATATAGAAATTTTATGTTGTCAATCAAACAGTGTAGTTTAGCATCATAATCATTTTTATATAAAAAGCATTTAATATAATTTTAGTAAAAAGCCATTTGATACTGGTTTTAAAACTATTTTTTTTTAATTTTATACTTAATTCTCATATTTCCCTCTTCATATTTTAAAAGGCTTTTTTGGTTCAGAGGGAAACTCTCAGCTATACTAGCAAGCTTAAAATTTGTAAGGAAAAATATATACATATTTTTAATCTAATAGGGAATTTATAAAATATTAATAACAGTAGGGAGCATTAGAAACCTGAGCTTTTAAATATTCCATTACATTTCAGTCAGGTTTAAATAAAGACTCTTCAAGTAAGGCCTCAGCTGTGAACAAACGGACTGTTCCTGTGAGTGCCACCAGTGGGGGAGCTCAGAGTTCTGGAACTGTCAGAGAAGCCACTGCCACGGCCACGGTTCTGCCACAGCCCATGACAACAGCCGTGGGGAAAGGCACAGTTGCTGCCCAAGACAAAGCAGGTAAGTGGTGCTTATATATAGTATTTGGAGTGACCCCTTCACCCCAATATATATAATTATACTTCCTTCAGGAATCAAGAACTCAAATTCACTCGAGTATTTAAATGAAATTATTAGTAAATATCATTGAAGAAGTGAACATTTTAACTTCAGCTATAACTTCTTTAAAAATTAATGAAAAAATATTTTTCTTAGTCTATTTAGTTGAACTTCTGTTGTAAAAAATATTATCTTAAAAAACACAATAATGTCAACTCGAATTATTCATTCTTAATACTAACTAGACTGGGTGACTTTACATTGTGTCTTCAGGTAAATCGGTAGAGAATGCAATTTTGATGTCATGATTTGATCTCTGAGGTTTTTTCCTTTTTTTAAAAAAAAAGCGATTACTGTCTCCTTTTATTTCATATTTTAGAATGAAAGGTAAATTAAGTGATGAAATGAATATATTTAAGTATTAAATAGTGCCTGGCTCATATTAAGCCACATACTAGCAGTTTGTTAAATAAAAATAAATGAAAATATTACAATTTTAAATAATTTTTTTCTATGTTGATAATCAAGCATTTCTTAAAGAGGAATTTATTTAGACATTGTGAAAGTATAATATGATGATAAGCTTCCCCATACCTACTATAGAATATATTCTTTGCCTGCAATAAAGATCATATTCCCTAAATTCCTAAAAACCTGGTTTTTATTTTAAGAAGTATACTACACTGTCAACATGCAACAGATAGTTTTAAAAGTCTACATGGTATATATGCCAGTATGTTTTCAAAATATTAGAAATGGATGTACCCACCCATGTCTTTTTAAATTTTTAGGACAAGTACTTGACATGGACAAAAATATTCGTTGGTGCCTTTTCAGTCAGAGTTTACTATTTCCAAGTATAAGCAAAAGTTTAATTTGTTAACATTCATAATATGGGATAGTTTTCTTAAAGTTGTAGGTATATTCACTACAAATTTTCTGTGAATAACTACATTGTCCTCCCATAAAAATTATTACATATTACGTGGAAAAATAAATGCTGTCTACTTAAAAGAAGAAAGTCTTTTTCAAAATTACTTTGAGTAATGTTTGCCAGAAATGTTTAATTAAATATATTAAAATTTCCATTATTTTAAAATTTTAATTTACTATCAATTTTATGCATAATTTTCAAAAAGTAAACAAAATATTTTTCTCATTTACTGTAAATTTTATGAAGTCTGTATTCATTTAGTTTTTAATAAGGAGGCTATGTTTAACAATGACAGCATTAATTAGGAATTGAAGACTTGGGTCTGCAGGGTCACTGATTAACAGCTCTTTCCTGATTAGCAAAGTTTCTGGCAAAATGAATTTTTGCTTTGCATCCATAGTTAGAAATTCTGTTCATTAATTTTATTTTGAAATAATTTCAAACTTACAGAAAAGTTTCAATAATATATAAAGAACTCCTGAGCTCAGCTGTCCAGCAGATTCACCATTTTATAAATTTTGCCACATTTGCTTCCTAATTTTCTCTCAAACACACACACACACACACACACACACACACACACACACACGTCTATTTTTCCCCCCTCGGAAACATGTAGAGTATATTAAGTTTAAGTCTCAGGTCTATCACTTCTTACCAGGATGACTTTGGGCAGTTTTCTTAACCATTCTGAATCTCATTTTTCTCTTCCACAGATAATAACTTTTAGGGTTATTGTGAAAATCAGAGAAAAATGTATCAGAAGTGCCTGGCATATGGTGGGCACTCAATAATTATGGTGTAATTAATAATATTGTTATCACGATCATCATTATTACTATTATCATTTTAAGCTTCTTGTAAAATAAATTCGAAGTTTGACAAAAAGTTCATGTTGCTTCTACTAAAGTGGTCCTGACTTAGTTATTAAAAACAACTTCTGCAGTCTTGTTACTACTGCTTATTTTCAGAAGGAACAGCCATTTAAGGAATGAAAAACAGCCCTCTTCCTTTTTATTGTCTACTTCACTATTCTCTATAACAGCGGTTCTCAACCTGTGGGTCGCAACTCCTTTGGGGGTCGAAGGACCCTTCCACAGGGGTCGCCTAAGACCATCGGAAAACACATATATAATTACATATTGTTTTTGTGATTAATCACTATGCTTTAATTATGTTCAATTGTAACAATGAAACATGAGGAACTGTATTAAAGGGCCGTGGCATTAGGAAGGTTGAGAACCACTGCTCTAAGAGTTTGGGATTCTAGTTTCCTTCCTCTTAGTAAACTATTGTGAAGTCAGTGAAGTCATTTGAGGTCGTAAATGCCTAAAGCAATGTTAAGCTCCCCCTGTTAGTGAAGAAAAAGAAGAGGGAAAAATATCTGTTCACTGCAAATTGGGGAGAGAGCTAACATAACTTAAATCCTTCTATCTGTTAGGCATTGTCTACATATGCCTTACAGACTTTTTTTATGATTATCATTTGTAGGTAATCAGCTAAGTTATATGTTCAGAATACTTTTAAGACAGAAGCAAATATGTATATTATTTTAGAAAAAAAATTTAAAAATGGCTACAATAACATGGTGGTATATGGATAAGTAAGTTATTTGATTTTGGGGGAGCCCTTCATTCCATGAAAGTAATGGTTAGATGAATCATTGTTAAATTCTGCTTTTCCCCCCAATGCTCACAATTGTAACATTACCGCTCACAATTTTAACATTACCAATAATATGGGTAATACGTTAATTTTTTTTATTTATTCACAAAATCATATATTCTTTTTAAAATTATTTTAAAATTAATTTTATTGGGGTGGCATTGCTTAATAAAATTATATGTTCCTTCAAATGTACTATTCTATGATACATCATCTCTGTATTGCATTATATGTTTACACCCCAAATCAATTCTTTGTCACCATATGTTTGACCCCTTTTAGCCTTCACTACCCTATACCCCACTCCACCCCCCTTCCATCTGGTAACTACCATGCTGTTATCTGTGTCTATGAGTTTTTGTTTGTTTTTCTTTTTTTTTTTTAATTTAAATTCTTCATTGTTTAAAGTATTACATATGTCTCCTTTTTCTCCCATTGACCTCTCCCCGGCTGTTCCCATCCCCCAGCACATGCCCTCACTCCCCTACTGTCTGTGTCCATGGGTTACAAGTCATTTGGTTGATCTCTTACCCCTTTTTTCTTGTTTGTTCATTTGTTGCTTTCAGTTTTATATTTTTAGAACCTCGCTTCTGATAAATTTCTTTAAGTGTACTAACATTTTTATATCTAATTTCTATAAGGTTTGTCTCGAAGCATCAACACAGATATTTTATCTAAGGAAACAGACAGTGGGAAAAATCAGGATTTCTCCAGTCTTGATGATACTAGAACAAGTAGTTTGGGGGACATGTTCTCACCTATCAGAGATGGTAAGTCTGTTCAGATCAGAGGATCATGTTCTCTTGCTGGTAGTCTTACATTTTTATTCTGGCTAAGAGATGTGGGTAGCAGCTTCAGTGTAACTCTTGTGATGACAGTTTGCTCATTTTCTCAATCCCTGGGGTGGTATTTTTTCCTTTGCCTTGGTATTTTAGGTAACTATATTCCAAAATATATGCTGGTAATTTTCACATGGGAAATTTGCAAATAGTTCTGAAGTTAACATTTTAATTTCTACAAAAGTTTCTTAAAGGAAGTTTTGCATTCATAGGCAATCTTTTACTTGTATTTACTTTTTAATAAATTTTTGTAAAATCTTGGATATTGATAGATAAAAGATATCTTCCTGACTTAAAAAACATTTGTTTTTGTGATTATTAGTATTTAATTGGTATTTATTAAATGTTTTCATGGAGAAATATGGCTAAGTGATATATTGCCTCATCTTTTACACTATGTATGAAACTATCTCTCTCTCTCTCTCTCTCTCTCTCACACACACACACACACACACACACTTCTCATTGCTAGTAGATGTTGCCATTTAAAAAAAAAAAGCAAAAACTTTGCCAGCTTGTTGAATGGAAATATTATTTATCATTGTTGTTCACACTGTATGAACTAGGCCCATTGTTTGGCTGTGTTCTTTTAGTACTAATGTTCATTCTATTAACCTTAATGGGATAGTTCCACTGCTAATAGCAGTATTACCAATATGGGTGAATTTCTAGAGAATATTTTGGCAGGTTTAAATACTCATACTTTTTGGCCTGATAATTCCATTTCTATAAGTTTACCTAAGACAATATTCTGAAAAGCCCAGAAAGATTTGTATGTTTACTGTATAATAGTGAAAAACTGGAATGAATTTAAATGCCAACAATAGCAGGGTGTTTAAATTGTTGCATGTGCCTATGGTCTTATAAAATTTCATTTTTTACTTCAAAATTGTCTGCATTATATGTTACCTTTTCCCCCCATTGACCTCTCCCTGGCTGTTCCCACCCTCCAGCATTAATTTTCTCCAATTAATTTCATAATCAGAAACAACAAATACATACGTGATTATATAGAATTACTGAGTGTCTTCTGCCTTATGCTAGCCTGAAAATACTTCAGTTGCCAGGTCAAACTCCTTTATCTTCCACCTAATGAAAAAGGGAAAGATTCCTTTCTTTCAAGACAAAGAGAGGTCAGACTGCATAGGTAGAGGAAAGAGAGGAAAGATGTGGGTGAAGGAGGGAAAAGTGGCTTGCACTGGAGTTGAAACAGGTTTCTGAAGTAAGTGCCCAGTTGGGGACCTTGGCTTCTGAGAACCCCTGGAGTTAACTATTAAGTTGAAGACTGTAGGAAGGGGCTTTGTGGAGGATTTTGAGTTATGAATGAAATCCTCTTTAATGGTATTCCAGATAAATAAAGAAATTCCTCTTTAATTAATTTAGCTATTTAAAAAATATTATTAGTATATGAGCCATATGCCTTTCATTTATTAGAATTTTGTATTATTAATGAGAAGAAAACATGGATACTAAATATAGTACTGCTTTCATTATCAAGAGATTTGCAAGGATGAAACTCAACTGGTAAAAGGCTTAATCTGTTTTGGTTCAATTTACTCATCTTTTAAATACTTCTGCTTTTGTTAGGGGAAAACTAATAACTTTTAAAAGTGCATGTGTGCTATGCAATATATATATATAGGATAGATGCACAATAGTCCTACTAATATGATAATCATTTATGACAATCAATTTATTGGCCATTGGAGTTTCTGATGAATTTGACCATTTTTCTATTCATTAAAATGGAGTTAAGCAATATTTGGTTGGTAATTTGTAAATGAATAATATTACAGCATTGAAATTTCTGCCATTGAAATAAATTTTAATAAAACCTTAAAACCTTATGTGTTTTATAGCATTGTATTGCTTGCAAAATGTTTTTATGTTATTTCAGTTGATTCTCAATAAAATCTTGTGAGATGGTCAGGGCATTATTCCCTTTATATAGATGCAGAAACTGAAGTTTAATTGTATTAACATTTGTCCAAGGTCACAAAGCTATTAAGTGTATAGGCAGAACTGAATTACAGACCTTTGGCCCTCACTACAGTGCTTTTCCTAGTATAGTTGGCTGTCTCATTAGAATAACTATCTCTCTATATATAAAAAGCTAATATGCAAAGTGTCTGCTCGGGAGTTCAACCGGGAGAACGGGAGTTCGATCACTCGCTATGATGTACACTGACCACCAGGGGGTGGCGCAGAACATTGCAGGCGACCAGCCGCAGTGGTGGCAGAGTGCTGAGGGAGCCAGGGGAGGAGGAGGCGGTGAGGTGGGAAACCTGATCAGTTCTGATCGCAGGCCAGGCCTAGGGGCCCTACTCATGCACGAATTTCGTGTACTGGGCTTCTAGTATCATAGAATTGTCTTTTTATATTTGCACTGTGAAGCTAAAAGAATGAAAAGGGGAGTTTATGTGAGTACTAGCTTTAACTTTACTCAGATTTTCTTCTTAAAATTATTATCCTTGAACACTTTGGGGAATGAATAGTAATTATAAGTTGCTATAGCATCTTTTTTACTGTCTTTTAAATTTGATTTTCTAATTTTCTTACAGATGTTGTGGCTAACAAGGGAGGTGATGAGTCCATAGGCAAAGGAGATGGTAAGAACTATTGAGAAGTATTTTAATGAAAATTGTGATATTGTGTTCTCTATTCCTGTGTAACAAATTACCCCAACATTTTGAATTTTAAAAGAGCATTTATCATCTCATAAAATGTGGGTTAAGCATGGCTTAGCTTGAGTGCCCTTGGCTTTCGGTCTCTTGGTGCTTTAATCAGGGTGTCAATAGGGCTGCAGTCATCTCCAGACTTAACTGGGCAAAGATCTGCTTCCAAGCTCACTCATGTGTCTGTGAGCAAAGACATTAATCGGTTTATTCCCCTGTGGGCTTCTCCACAGGGAAGCTGACAACGGGCCAACTGGCTTTCCTTAGAGCTGGTGAGCAGGAGAGTGAGAGGGGGCACCCAAGATGGAAAACCATAGTGTGTTTGTAGCATAAGCTTGGAAGGTATTCTCTTTGTTAGAAGCAAGTTACTAGGTCCAACCCACATTCAAAGGGAGGGGATTACTCCAGGGCATGGATCCATGCCAGAAGTCAGGGATCATTAGGGGCTTTCTTAGAGGCTGCCTGCCAAGACATATACCACAGTGTGAACCAAATGAACACTTCCGTTGTCAAATACTGATTAAAATGTCCATTGTGTTTTTCAGTTTTCAAAGTATTTTCATATACAATATCTCCTTTAAGCCTCACCACTCAGGGAAATAGATATCATTATTCACATACTAGAGGCCCGGTGCCCAGTTTCATGCACCGGTAGGGTCCCTCAGCCTAGCCTGCGCCCTCTCGAAATCCGGGACCCTTTGGGGAATGTTGGACTGCTGGTTTCAGCCTGATCCGCCTGGCAATCCGAAATCCCCCAAAGGATATAGTAGTGCCTGAAGCGGCAGGTGGCCGGGGAGGAGCCCAAGCCCAGGCCGGGTACCGCGCCGCTCCTGCTCATCACAGCCTCGCTGTGCCTGCCACCACCACCACTTGGTAAGCTCATTGAGTGGTGCTCCCTCTGTGGGAGCACACTTACCACCAGGTGGCAGCTCCTGCGTTGAGGCACCATCTGCCCCAGGTGGTCAGTGCGTGTCATAGCGAGCAGTCAGATGGTCGACCTGTCGAACAGTTGACCAGTTGCTTAGGGTTTTATATATATAGATTTGCAGATCAGAATGCAGTCACAGGGATTTTTACGATTTTTTTGCATCAAATAAGGGCTAGAGCTGACAAATGAACCTGATTTCTGAATCCAAATTCTGTGTCTTTCCATCATATTAGCCTGTCAGGTTAAATGCTTTTGTTAAATATCCAACATTGGAGAACATCATATGCAAACACAGCTTTTTCCCTCTTTTTTCAGGCCTTGACTTTTTAACACAATTGAACTCAGTGTTTCCTCCAAGAAAAAATCAAGGAGCTTCAGGCACTTCAGTATTGCATTCTAGTCCCTTTAATGTCTTTATGGGATCTCCCGGGAAAGAAGAAAATGAACATTGTGATCCGACAGCTGAACCTAAGAAAACGTATCTGGGAAAACAGGAATCTAAAGACTCCTTCAAACAGGTATCTGCCTGAAAGTGGTACTGAGCTCACTGTGTGTTTCTCACCAGCAAGCATGATGAAGACCGTCACTAGGAAGCAGGCAGCTGCCATTGCATTTGTCCTAACTAGTGACAGTGCTGTGCATTCACTACGTAGAAAAATACTCTTCAATCTTGGTGTCACGTGTTAAAAACTAAAGGATACTCTTGAAATCTATCTCTGGATGTGATGAGGATAGCAACACAACAGATGTCATAGTCTATTTTTTTTTTATAAGTCAAAAAACTTGATATAGCTGTCTGTGTAGTAATATTTTATACCTGAATATTTTAAGAAGTATTTCCATTGTGGCGGAAAGCACCAAGTTGGTGGTCAAGGCAATTACCCTAAGTCTTAGAGTAATTTATTTTTTTATTTTATGTTTTTATTTTTATGTGTCCTTATCCCCACATTACATTCTTAGAGTAAATTGATGGTGATATAATACAGTACTCAATATAGAAGTTAATTTATTATGAAAGGATTCAAAATGATCAAATATTACCAGGAAGTTACCAGGAAGGCTGAATCTGTTGTGCAGTATATCCATTTATTTTCAAATTTATTTTTAGGATGATATTGTAAAGATAACATTCAAAAAGTACAAAATGTCTTTTGACTTATTTTTCAGATATTTCTGACTAGTTATAAACGAGAGGTTGGGGGTGTTTTTTGTGTGTGTGGCGCGGGGGCGAGGGCGTTGTTTGTTTTTGCCTGTGATCACTATTTTAAATTATATTCAACAGACTGATGCTTAGTAAATGAACTTTATCATGTTATCATTGATATTGTTTTTGATTAGTAAACTTGATTTATTTGCCAATAGTCCTAGCAATTTTTTTTCTCTTTCTATATCCCTTTTTATTTTTCCTTTACCTGACCCTACCTACTGGATAAAAGAAAGTTGGTACAAATTATGTGGATGATACAGGTAAAGCCAGAATTTATATATTAATTGTTTATTTTAAATGTGAAGTTTGCAAAGTTGATCTCCGGTGCTGATACTGGAAGTCTAAATACCTCTCCATCATCTAACCAAACAAGAAGTCCTGAGAAATGTGAAAAGCCAGAAAAAGAAAAGGAAGCCCGGTTACTGTATGAACCCACAATCAATGGATCCTCAGCTCCAAGTAAGTACATAAAACTTTCTAATGTTTGAAAGTGTTAAGTTGGAAACCCTCACTATTTAACTTGAAATGAGTGATCACAGACAAAATTTTAAATGTTCAAAGAGTTTAAATGTTCAAGGAGTTTAAAATTTATGACATTTCTCTAGCGTAACCCTCTTACTAGAAGACAATAAAATGTACATGAATGATTAAATATAACCACATTTATTTGACACTCTTGGTGTGAATTTCATTTTTGATCTCATCTGTAGGTGTCTTGATATAACGTGGTACAGATAGGAATATGGTGTAGAACCCTGTGAAAATGGGTCAATTACCTAAAATTATCTTTTTAAAAATTAAGATGAAGATTTATTTACAAAGATGTTCATCCCAACTGTATTTTTTAATGTTATTTTTTGATTTGTCAATTACAGTTGACATTCAATACTATTTTATATTAGTATCTTTTTCTCCCCCACATATTAAAGTCCTATTCGTAGAGTTAATACCACAGACCCTAAAAGCTTGATCCACACTTAAAGGGATATTAGGTTCAGCTATCAGTGTTATCCATACAAAAACAACTCTTTGTGTAGAAGCAACTCTTTTATATAGATATCTGTGTTTTACCTTAAGGTTTCTATGGATACATTGCATTAGCTTAAACTCTGGGGCTTTGCCTGTAGCATTACTTTACTCATGTACTCTGTTGGTTAATCTAGTTTGTGCTGAAGCTTGTCACATTCATCTCTTATAAGAGGTTTAGAGATTCTTCAAGATCAGTTCTTCTGTCATATGTTACTACATTAGTCAGTGGCAATTCATATATATAGATAAATGACTATTAGAAATAATGTCATAGAAAGTTTAAGATTTGTATTCCAAACAGTGCATTTTTCTAAATGTTATAGGAACACTGTTCTTTGAGTTTTTCAAGTTTTCTCATGCCAAATCTTATTTAGAAATGTTTGATGACTCTTAGTCCAAGTTGACTGTTATTATTTTCTTCATTGTTTTGTTTTAGATCCAAAGTTAGCATCCTCTGTCACTGCTGGAGTTGCCAGTTCACTGTCAGAAAAAATAGCTGATACCATTGGAAATAATCGGCCAAATGCCCCATTGACATCTGTTCAAATCCGTTTTATTCAGAACATGATACAGGAAACATTGGATGACTTCAGGTAGTAACCGTAAAACTTGTAAACAACCCAATGCCAATTGACAGGAGAATGTACAGATCAGTATAAATCAGTGAGCTACAGATATATAGATCGTGAATCTTGAAAATGTGATACTGGATTATTTTCTAAAGGTGCACTACTCAAGACTGCATAGTATATGGTACTCTTTTTGTAATGCTCAAAGCAAGCAAATTGAAATGTATTCAGTAAAGAGAGATTCTATGTTATACAAATGTACTTGTAAAGCATTTTTTTGCTTAAGCAAAATTCACCAGAGTAGTATTGTCTTCTTTCTTGGGCTTCTCCCAAGAGTTAAGTGATGGAATCAGAGAGGAGCATACAGGAAGTTTCTATGATTTTGGTACTGTTCTAGCTTAGAAATTCTATGGTGGGTGACTGTTTTATTATTATATTTCATGGTTTTCATGTATTCTTTTGTAAGCATGAATTAATAGCATTTTATTGAATACACTGTTATAACCACCCAAATAACACCTTCCTATTTTATCTAGACGTATTTTTTAATGGCTAAAACATAGATAATAGTTAAAACATTATAACCTAGTATATTATCTGTATTTCATTGTAATATAAACCTGTGTCTTGATAATTTCTATATTAAGGAATGTAGTATAGTATAGTGGAAGTAGATAGCCTGGGTTTATATTTTAGGTCTGCTATTTACTGGCTATATGTCTTTGGATAAGTTATAACAGGTCTGTGGCTCAGTTACTTTATTAGTAAAAAGGAGGTAATAATTATAACTGGTGGTGAAGCTTAAATAAGTTCTTACATTTAAAGTACAAGAAAGTGCCTAACACATAGTAAATAAGTGCTAGGTGTATTGGTATTTTTATTAGTGTAATAATTGTTAACATCCAATAATTTGAAAAATGAGAAAGCTTAAGTAGTTTCTTGAATGATATAGAGTTGGTAAAACTGTTACAATTCTGACAAGTATTTTATATTCTTCCCTAGAGAAGCATGTCATAGGGATATTGTGAATTTGCAAGTGGAGATGATTAAACAGTTTCACATGCAGTTGGTATGTATGACAAATGTTATTTTAAGTGAATGTAGAGTTGTGGATCTGCAAAATCCATTAAAGGGTGATATAGTTGTTACTTGCTTATATCTAGTTCCTATGATAAATAAAGAAGGAGTTTTAGAAATTTAAAAAGTAAAATAGTTTTTAACTAGTCACTTCCCCCCCCCCGCCCCTGTGAAAGAGAGGCTAAGGGGCTGCTTGGTAGGAGACACCAAAACAACCCCAATTGCCTGCCTCCTTAGGCTTTTATTGTAACAGCAGCTTGAACTAAAATTAACGTCTAGATCAGTGGTTCTCAACCTTCCTAATGCCGCGACCCTTTAATACAGTTCCTCATGTTGTGGTGACCCCCAATTTCATTGTTACAAATTGAACATAATTAAAGCATAGGGATTAATCACAAAAACAATATGTAATTACATATGTGTTTTCTGATGGTGTTAGGCGACCCCTGTGAAAGGGTCATTCGACTCCCAAAGGGGTCGTGACCCACAGGTTGAGAACCGCTGGTCTAGATACAATCAGCAGGGTAAGTATCCTTGAGAAAGCACATGCTTCTACAAGGACAGGTCTAAAAGACTAAACATAGAGATTCCAGCAAAGCACCTGGGGGCTTGGACTTGTTTGGAAAAGTCAAGGCAGGGGCTGCTGCCTTTGGCAAGGTCCCCTCAGAGGCCCCCGACCTTTCAGAGAATCTTCCTTACAGACTTCCAACCAAGTCCCATGCATGCTTCTCCACACATCCCCACCAAGTCCTCCTGCAGAAACCCATGCTTACTACATAGCTGATTACATTGTACAAAAGTTGGTATTTTTAATTTTGTGAAAATTCAAAAAATGTAAGTTATCATATGGTAACTCTATGCTTAACGTTTTGAGCAAAGTGTTTTCCAAAGTGGCTGTACCATTCATATTTCTACCCAAAATGCCTGAGGGCCCCAGTTTCTCCACATCCTTGCCAATACTTCTGTTACCTGATTTTGTTATAACTCTCCTAGTAGGCATGAGGTGATTCTCGTTATAGTTTTGATTTTCATTTCCCTGATTATTAATGATGGTGTACATTTTTTCATGTGCTTATTGGTCATTTTGGCCATCTTCTTTGGCCATCTTCTTTATATGTTCTGGATACAAGTCCTTATTAAATATATGATTTGAAAATATGTTCTTTAATTCTGTGGGTTACCTTTCAGTCTTCTTTTTAACCTTTAATAGGTAAGGCAACTTTTTACAACTTTTTTTCTTTAATAAGTACGCAAAAAGCTCCTTGCATGTGCAAATATAGGCCTCCCAAATATGTAAGTTTTACTAGTGGTCTTTCATTTACATTAACAAATAAGAGTGGTTAAGTCTGAGGAATATCATTTAGCTAGTTAATTGAACATGAGAGAAATGATAGCTGACAGTATGTAAAACATGCCAAATAAATGTGACATGCCAAGTAATTTAAAAAAGAATTTTTGTCCTTTTCTAGAATGAAATGCACTCTTTATTGGAAAGATACTCAGTAAATGAAGGTTTAGTGGCTGAAATTGAAAGACTACGAGAAGAAAACAAAAGACTGCGAGCCCACTTTTGAAATTACACTGAATACCTTAATGTTTTTTAATTTGGGAAGTTTTTGGCAACACAGAACTACATGGAATCAGTGTTGTTTTTATGGCCTCTGGGAAAAATTTTCAAGTAAAAAGGTGATGGGATTTTACACCAACCACTATTTCATTCTCTCTGACTGTCGAAAATATTTATATTTTTATATTAAAAGCTGTACAATGTATAATTTGCCTATAGGAAAGTCAGTAGGATCTTTATTTTTCTGAAAGCTTTAGATAGACACTAAGTGCCCTTTTTCATAAGACAATTGTGCAAAAAAATAGGTTATGGGTGTTTTAAAATCACCTTTTTTAACATATATTTTTTGATTAACATTTGCCTTTCCAATTTTTTTGGATGTTTTTGGGATTAAAGAGTTTGATATGCATTCTATTTTTATGGAAAAAGTAATTTTAAAATGGCAATTGGTGTTTCTAAGCAATTACCTAATAAAACACAAGGTTGGTTACTAATTATTTTGTTAACTTAATGAAGTCAAGTATGACTACTATTTATTATTTTTACATTTGATATGACAATTTGTTGGAATTTTGAATTGCACAAATTATCTTTTATCTATTGCGTTTATGTTATTGGATTGTACTTCTAACAAATCTCTATTCTGGGTTGTTTTTTTTTTTGTTTTTTGATGTGTTTTTTTGTTTTTGTTTTTTGTATTTTTTTAGCAAACTTAGCAGACTTCACTTTACCTATGAAAACTTGTAAGGATTTGAAAGATTTGACCAGAGCTGCATATTTACTAATTATCTCATGAATTAGTAATAAGCAAAATTATACTACAAAGTTTTAATGAACATGATTCAACTGATAATCAGTGAAAATTTCATAGTAGATACTAAATATTACTGTATTATTGCAGTTCATTTTCTCCCAAATGAGAAGCGTGGATGTCTTTTTGTGGTTTATATCATTAACTTTCTCTAATCCTTTGTGTGCCGTATTTAACATTTTTATATTATTGACCTTAACATCAAATTTAGAAAGGGTAATTGTCAAAAGGATTTATACCTCTTTGACAATAGATGGATGTGTACATCTACCTGTTGTGATCTGGAGTTTTAATCATATAAGATTAGGCAGGTTATTGGTTTGTTTACCTTCTTGTAGTCTCTTGTCCCAAAGACTTAAACTATGTACCTTTTATATATTACTCCTGTCCAATTTTGACTTTTGAGATGAAAATACTAAAATAAAAAAGAAATTGAGTTAGCTTACTAACTTTATGATTTTCCAAAGCAATGGAAATTTTTAAGGATATTTTTTAATAAGTATAAACATACTAATAACTACTTCAAGGAATAAAAACAGAAATACTACTTTTTCCTATTGTGTCTCAGAGAATACATTTGTATTGAAGCATAAAAGGGTGCTACTGTGATCTTTTTTCCTGGCAGATTATGAAAGCATTATGACTTGTAACAAGTTTCCTTATATACCATTATCAAGCAGACTTAGAAAACAAAAGTGTGTTTTGCCTATATGCTTTATTTAAATTCATTAATATTTTTCCTGTTGTCTTTTTCTGTACATGCACTTGATGTTTATTGAAAGAAGAGGGATAAATAAAACAATTTTAGTAACTTTATGTGTATTGATGAAACATTTTTTGTCATAGAATTTAAAAGCTAAATAAGTACAAGCAAAATCTTTATATATGGAAAACCTGAAATTAAATGTTTGCCTCTTACCAAGCTGAAATAATAGGGATTGAGTTTACCCATCTAAAATTTTTTAGAGACAAAATATGTGAAATAGTTTTCAAATAATGGACATTACACAGAATGGGACCATGATCCCTGAAAGAGGAAAGCAGATAAGACCCAAGAAACTCAATGAACCTCAAGCACAAGAAATAAAATAACACCAAAGCACATCATAATCAAATTTCTTAAAACCAGTGACAAAGGAAAATTCTTAAGCAGCAAAAGTCAAAAGCTCAGAGGAACAAAGATAATGTCAGAGGTAGTGGAGCAACCTCTTTCAAATACCAAAAGAAAACACCCAACTTAGAATTCTATACCCAGCAAAAACATCTTTCAAAAATTAAAATGAAATATTAAAACTTTTTCAGAACTATAAACACTAAAGGAATTCATCATAAGGAAATGTTAAAGAATGCCTTTAGTCAGAAGGAAAATGGTACCAGATAGAAATCTTCTATTCAAATGAATGAAGAACACCAAAAATTGTGTATATGTGAACAAATGTAGGATTTTTTTCTTACTTTATCTCTAAAGGTTAATTTACTATTTAAAGCAAAAATTATAAGCTATTGTATGGTTGACACATAAGTAAAGCAAAATGTCTGATGACAATATTACTTGAAAGTAGTCTATGATAAAAATGTATAATGTAAAACCTAAAGCAATCACAAGAAGAAAAGCAGTTAAAACTAATAAACCAACAAAAATAGTAACATATAGCCATAAAAATAATCCAAAAGAAGGAAGGAAAAGAAAAAAGGGGAACAAAAAATAGGACAAAAAATAACTTGTAAGATGGAAAACAAACAGCACTATCAATAATTGCATAAGACTAAATTATCAGGTGCTCTTATTAGACTGTCTTTTATCCAACTACTAGAGGCCCAGTGCATGAGATTTGTGCACTCAGGGGGCATTCCTCAGCCCAGTTTGCGCCCTCTCGCAGTCCAGGAACCCACGGGGAATGTCCGACTGACGGCTTAGGCCCATTCCCTGCGGGACATCCTTAGCGCTGCCATGGAGGCAGGAGAGGCTCCCGCCACTGCTGCTGCGCTCACCAGCCATGAGCCTGGCTTCTGGGGAGCACACTGACCACCAGGGGGCAGCTCCGGCATTGAGTGTCTGCTCCCTGGTGGTCAGTGTGCATCATAGTGACTGATCATTCTGTTTGGTCGATTTGCATATTAGCCTTTTAATATATAGGATATACTGAATCAGAAATTCACTTTAAATATAAAGACAAATCATTTTAATATAAAAATAAGAAATTTAAAAATATATTGAACTAAATGCAAATGAAAAATTATCAAAATTTGTAGGAATCAGCCACTGGGGCCTGAGCCGACGCGGAGTTGGGCTCTGTAAGCGTGCCAGGGGGCGCTAGACGTAGGAACCGCCAGGCGTCACCCGGGCTGAAGACCGGACCGGAAGTGCCAGCGCACCGCAGCGGAATGCTCCGCTGAGCACCTGGGCTGCCACCCGCAGACCATGTTCCTGGCGTGTCTGATATCTCAGCTGCTGTGGGTTGCGCCCCGGGCAGGCCTCCGTGGGCCCTGGCCTGTCTCAGGGGTGCCAGGCAGCCATGCCTGCAGGCCCCGCTACAGCATGCAACCAGCAGGCCCGAGTAGGGTTGCTGTCCTCCCGGGCAAGGGGGTCCAGCTGGAGCTCGAGGAGACGCTGGTCCCCAGGAAGATGTCCATCAGTCCCCTGGAGAGCTGGCTGACCGCCCACTACCTGCTGCCCAGACTGGATGCTGGGGTCCCAGGGACTGCGGCACCGGCCCAGGCCTACGAGTGTCCGCCTGGCCAGGTGGGGGAAGGGGCCGAGCAGGGGCGTGAAGAGGTGCAGGATGCACCCCAGATTCAGTGCAAAAACGTGCTGAAGATCCGCCGACGGAAGATGAACCATCATAAGTACCGCAAGCTAGTCAAGAGGACCCGGTTTCTGCGGCGGAAGGTTCGGGAAGGATGCCTGAAACGAAAGCAGGTGAGGTTCGAGAAAGACCTGAAGCGCATCTGGCTGAAGGCAGGCCTGAAGGAAGCCCCTCCCGACTGGCAGACCCCCAACATCTACCTCAGGGGCAAGTGAGTGCGGGCGCCCCTGCCCCGGCGCTGCTGTTGTTCTCTTGTAATAAACGTTGACGAGCTCCGCTGCTCCTGCTGCCTGGGGGAAAAAAAAAAATTTGTAGGAATCAGCTAAAGCAAGTACTTTTAGGGACATTTATATCAATAAATGTCTGTATTAGAAAAGGAAAGGACTCAAGTCAGTGACTTTAGCATCCAACCTACTCTAGAAAAATAATAGCAATTGAAACACAAAGTGCACAAATGAAAGGATAAAGATTAAAGAAGAAATTATGCAATAGAAATCAATTGAGAAAATCAGTAAAATTAGAAGCTAGTTCTTTTAGATCAACAAAATTGACAAACCTTTAGCCAGACTGATGAATAAAAAAGACATAAATAATATCAGGAATGAGAGAAGTAACATTGCTACAGATTCTACCGATAATTCTGACAAAATGCCAAACCTAAATGGTTACTCTGGTGAATTATTTCAAATGTTTAACGGGCAGATATTTTAATTCTTAACAAATGTTATCAGAAAATAAAGGGATAATTCCCAACTCATTGTTTAAGGCCAGCATTACTCTGATACCAAAGTCAAAACTACACTCCAATATTTATCATAAACACATGCAAAAGTTATAAAAAAAATTTTAGCAATTTGAATTCAACTACGTATAAAAAGCATAATACATTTGACCTAGTGAGGTTTATCTCAAGAATGTAAATTTGGGCTAATATTAGGACACTAGAGGCCCGGTGTACAAAAATTTGTGCACTCGGGGGGGTTCCTCAGCCCGGCCTATGCCCTCTTGCAGTCTGGGACCCCTTGGAGGATGTCCACCTGCTGGCTTAGGCCCGCTCCCTGGGGGATCGGGCCCAAGCTGGCAGTCAGACATCCCTCTGGCAGCCTGGCAGCCCTCGAGGGATGTCCACTTGCCAGCGGGGAGCAGGCCTAAGCTGCAGTTGGACATCCTTTGTGCTGCTGAGGAGGCGGGAGAGGCTCCCACCGCCACTGCTGTACTGGCAGCCATCAGCCTGGCTTGTGGCTGAGCAGAGCTCCCCTTGTGGGAGCACACTGACCACCAGGGGGCAGCTCCTGCATTGAGCATCTGCCCCCTGATGGTCAGTGTGTGTCATAGTGACCAGTCATTCCCAGTCGTTCTGCTGTTAGGGTCAGTTTGCATATTACCCTTTTATTATA